TTTTTTTATCAAAGGTTACATTGAATTTTTGTTGTCAACCAGTATATACTGATCAACCAAATGAAACATAATTTTTTTTAGGAGTTCTGAACTTTTGGATCATAATTTCTTTGGTACTCAGAGTCAGCTTTTAATATTCTGATTTAAATAATAATTGTCCATCCCAAAGAGAGTTTGAATTCGAGACACAAGAAAATCAGCCCCCCTTATGTTACCACTATAACACCACACGTTTGATGTAATTTTCGATATCCTTGTTTTTTAAACGATCAATAATATGTAAAACTAAATTTTTAGTATATACATAATCGATTTTAGCATATACATTTTTTCAATATTCAAACGTGTATAACAAAGTATATAATTTCTAATATCTATAAGTATACCAAAATGATATGGATTATGCGTAAAGTTGAATATTTTTTTATCAAGAATATGTCGACGCCATTAATTTAAATATTTTCATGTGTTAAATTGATCAAAACATATGCAAATATCATTTCTTTCAAAAACAAATTAACTGTAAAATTATTTTTCATTATTCGTTTAAATTATAGAACATATGATAAATCAAATAAATTTTAGATTTATATGAATTTGTTGGACATAACAAATGAAAAAAAATATATGTTTTCCAATAATGAAATGTATAAATATATATAAGTGTGATTAAATATGTATAATAGACTACATCATAATAAAAATATTTGTGTAGTATATTAATCTAATACATATATACAAAAATATAAAAAAAAAATTATTAATATATCAGAAGAAATAAATTAAAATAGATGATATGATAATTATAAAAGATTACATTTAGTTAGGCTTAATTTGTAAAGCAAGTATTACTGAGTTTTTTATTATTAAATTAATGAAAAATATGTAGAGAATTCTATTATGGCATATAGTTTTAATTAAGATGTTTTGATTGTTTAAATTAAATGACGTGTCTCATAAAATATTTTTTGAACGACACCTAAATTTTTTTTACTCTAATATCTCTTCAATAAATATATACTACTATATAGGATAAGAGTATTTATGTCTTACTTTTGTTTGAAATTTTAAAAACACCGAAAATACTCTCAAAACATATTATTACTACTGATGTCAC